TTATTATTATTATTATTATTATTATTATTATTATTATTATTATTATTATTATTATTATTATTATTATTATTATTATCCGAAATATAAATAAATTTGATGATCAATTAATTGGTTAGTTACCCCTGACGCTGAGTCCTAAGATCTTAATAAAACAACTTCTTGAGGATTAAGATTGGAATATACACAAACATTTATGCCTCTTTTAAGTACCGTATAGCGCTGCAGTACCCTCGGTCTTATTCAAGAAAACTGAGCTAAATTGAATCGCACCCCCGGGTACTATAGTAAAAGATAAAGGTACACGAAAGGGGTATATTGAAAGGGGATACTAAATATATAATAACGTGACTGAAACTACAATGAAAATAATCATTAATCAATGTGAAATTTACAACTCCTAAAAGATGAGTCCGCGTGCAATAAAGGTAAAACCGTTGATTATAAATGTCTCCAAAATCAAACTGACGATGAGGTAATATTGCTTGATAAAATTGAAGAAAACGATGAAAGTAGCGATAAAGAAGTGAATATTAGTAGCAACGAAACAGGTATTAGTATCAGTGAATAAATAGATATAGACGGTGGAAAATGGTTATTATTCTCAATACGATACAAATTATGTAACCTTTTGGACTGATTAATGCGTAAAAATTTGATTAATATCGGGTGTATTAATCAAAAATTTCATTTTTGGAAATAGAATTGTACACCATATTATATGACGGGGTAGGGTTACTGAATTAAGGGGGAACTGTATGCAGCGCTATACGGTAATTGGACATTTTTTGCAGAGCTCGAAAACAACACGTCATTTTATTAATTAAACTGATAAACTTTAAAAATTTGGTTTTCCCTAACTAATATCTTGTGATAAATTTCCAAGACATTAATGCATAAGTTCATAAAAACCGAAATTCGATCTCTGTCCATCAAGGTTGTTGAAATTCGTCTTAAAAATTACATAAATTACATATGTATCAAGAAATTTAATTTAAAGATTTTTCCTTGCTATTATCCTAGTCTGTCTAGCTCTAGTCTTATAAGCATTAAATTCTTTGACACTTGATTCTACTAAAGACATAAATTCTTCATTATCTAATCCCATAAAGTCAGACAGTTCCCTACCTAAAGCATACATTGTCAGTGCAAATTCCTTTGCAGCAATCTCACCCGCACGACTAACGTTACTTTCCAGAGTGTGAAATCTTTCGTGGACTTGAATCTCAGTGAATTGATTTGATGCGTGTAACAAATTTTCTTGTAGAATTGCAATATCAGGATTTATTTTCTTTTCTTTAAGAAACAACCTCACTATTTAAAGAAAATCGAAAATGAATTATTTCCAATAAAAAAAATTTACATAAAAAAGTTATATTTACTTTGGTCTGTAAGTTTAGCGGTGCTGGGACCTTCGTTTGTATAAAATAAGTTGATTTCCAGGAGACTTAGCCAACCAATTCCTGGTTTTAGCACTCGTAAAAATTCCTTCATTACCTTTTCCCATTCGATCTCGGTAAATGTAAATGTTAAACATTGGGTATGAATGAGATCGAACGTGTTATCGGCAAAAGGCAATCCTTTGAGAACATCAATATGTAGAAATACAGAGTTTAATGGTATTGATGCAGAGAAATTTGATGAAAAGTTCGATGTGTCGATTCCCCACACTTTGGCGAGTGGGTATTTATCAGAGACGTCCAATACCCATTCCCCCGTGTGGCGCCTATGTATGATAGAGAACACAAAAATTATATTATATTTTTTTGCAATTTAAACTAAATTAACAATCGATTTATTACCCTAGATTTAAAACTCGTGCATTTCCAAATTCGAGTTTCTCATGAACGGGTGCAAGAAAATTTGCTTGCCAAGTGTATTTAAACAGAGCGTGCAACATAGATAAATGATCATTACTAGCATACAACGAAGCTTTTCGTTGCTTATGCGGATGGTTGCCGCTATTGTTATTTGATTGCTCCGACTCGAAGGAAACACATTGACTATTGTCGACTGAGGAAGCACCCGTTAAGGGAATAATGATTGAACGTGGGTCGGAATTTGTTCCATTTCCTTGGAGTTTATCCAGGCAATTGCCCATTTTAAAATAAAACGTGAATAATGTTAGAAAGAATAAAAGAAAGTGAAGAAGGAAAGTGGATGGAACTTTGTCAGTGATTGTGTTGATTATCCCGATTGTCCTGATATTAGCTACTTATTTTATAATATTTGGTACCCGATATAAATATACGTATCGATATCGATACCGATACGTATTATTCGCAAATAGCTCTGAAATGCAGGAGAGGATTATAATTTTAACCATGACTATGACAAACTTTAAATTAGAAAACAGCACACAGGTTTATTTTTTTATTATCACATCTCTAATCTTCTAGTTCATAAATGTCAATTATAATAACGTTCCGCCGCGTATTAAGGTCTCACCAAATTAGACATTTATGATTGCTTTTCGAGAAATTTCCAATCCATTTAACACGCAATGAAAATTCCATTGTATTGGTCAAAATTTGCATTAAACTTTGACGTAAACACAAACTGTCTTGGCAATAACAATCTGATTTATACATGTAGCAGCATCATCGAGATGAACATGTACACAAGTTTTCTGTTATCGTTATCGTTATGTGTTTACCGTACACTTTTACGTGATACATGTATTTAACGTCATTCATTTGTGTAGAGGTAAATTATTTGTGTTATTGGTGTATGTACTTACCCAGAAATTCTTGGCAAACTTTCTGACGAGAATCATACAATCAAAAAATCGAGTCGAGCAAAAAATACAGATTTTTTAAAAAATCTTTCGCTTTTCATCGTATTCTAAAATTAATTCTATAACAACAATGTCGAATTAAATATATTGCATGCAATTACGTTGAATTGTTCTCCTGCATATGAAGTTTAAATTATATTCAAAAGACTCTTCCTGTTGGCAATCGTACACGTAAAGCAACTAATAATTAAACTTTAAATTTTTATGACATTTTTAAAATCACAGTTAGTGACAGTTAACTCTGAAAATTTAATAATCGATCTTGTATTTTATATATCGTGTATTATGTCTTCGGATATTTTTTTTTAAAAAAATAATTTACCAATTGCTTGGCTAATTGCAAATCTCAAATTATTCCGCTGTCGCAGCCTGCACTTCAGAAAAGAAATCAATAAAAGCACAATCTATCACTTATCTTACATGTAGCTTGCGTAGATAATTGCATAACGTAATGTAACAGTGTAATGAAATAATGCCATGATTGTTTTACGTATAAAGAGTCAAAACTCAAGATGCTCGATGACGTTATTTTGTCGAACATTTAGTACATGTACAATATATTGTATATGTACGTATTTAGTCATATGGAAGTACCGTACCGTAGAGCACATCCTCTAGAACCTTACAAAACTCTGGCTTTGTGAATACAATACATCGTATACATCGCGGTGCCAACAACAGCAAATATTTATACATGTAATATTCGATATAATACCGGGGTACTTTACTTTTTTTTTGGATAGAATATTATTAATTAATAAATTAATAAATTAATAAATTAAAATTCTATGAATCAGAATATATGGTGCATACCATCTAAAGTCACCAAACATTTTTATTTTATAAAATAGATAAACTTCTTTACTGAGAAGTAGATACAAAATTTAATCCGTGAATATGATATAACAGGCCTTTTCTGAGCATATTTACGGATTAAATTTTGTATTTACTTCTTAGTAAAGAAGTTTATACATTTTATATAATACAATCGCTTGATGACTTTAGATGGTATGCACCATAGAAGTTATTAAATTCAGTTTAAAAATTATATGCAGCCTTATCTAAGCCATTCAAGTGATAAGAAATGATACTAATTGTATCAAATAATAAATGTTATAATTTATCGTCGTCTTGTTCAAATACGATCACCTCTGTTTATCAAATTTAATATCAGTTGGTTGGTAATAAATCTTTAATAACGGTAATGGTTATTACATGTACATGTATTTCTTTTTTTGAGCATATCGATATACGTGTGTATGTTTATAGTTGAGTACGTATGTATAAATTTCTAGTTTTGAAGTTATCGTTATACACTAAGCAAAGTTATAAATCGGTGTATGATCAAATAGAAAGTTCGTGTGGAACTACGTAAATGTATGTGCAGATACTACTTACGTATTGTGTTTCAGAAAATTTCTTTGGAAATACGGTTGGCTCTTTATACATGTAATAAAGTTTTTTTGATTACAAATATGTTTTATAATAAAGTTACATATGTTTCCCAAACTTTATACGTCACATTCCTCTAATTTTAGATGCATTTTATAGTGTTGGTTCTGAGAGTATGGTATTGCAATCCAATCACACTTCTCTTAGTACATACTCTTGGAACTGACACATTTATAAGAATATGCATTTAAAGGATTGTGACTGCGTAAGTATAAATTTATTAATGCTTTCTATAATAATTTTTGGGCAAGGCAAAACTTTTATTATAAAGAGAGTCAACTGTATACAATAATACTGATTCGTAAAAAATTTGATAGATAATTTGATAGATTATACAACATCTCCATAATTTTTGAAAAAAAGGCATTGTATTCTCACATATCTAGATTGAATTTTTTCAACTTGAACTATTTAACGAACTATTTTAAACTAGAACTATCCTTTAAAATAAAAAGGAACGCAGTGCTAGCAATAATAATCGGCTGCAAAAATATCTATAAATGTAAAAGTTCACATGAAATCTTTTATCTTGTAAACCCATTACCCAGGTCATTTTAAAAATTGAGAACATACTTTGTGACGTCATTATAAATATAAATAAAAATGACTCGCTGAAACTCTATTGATTGTGACCAAATGACCTAGGTCATTTCAGATTTATTTGAATGACCTATCACTGCCTCACGAGGGATTTAATATTATCTTTGGCTAGATTAAAAGATACCAAGCATAAGTTACTATCAAAATTCGAGATAACGAATGTGATATTTCAACAAAATTGTAAGACTTTATATTAGTCAGATAAATTTTACATTGATTATTATAAAACCTAATATACTTACTTTGATACCAGAAATCACAAGAGAAATTATAAATAAATAAATAAATATAAATTAAGCACGAGAATCACAATGATAAACAATATGAACACAGCTTGAGAGTCGACTAACTATACTATCAAAAGTCAAATTGCTTCTAATTTTAAAATTATTATACTTTTGAATATACAAATTGTATTGCAAATAAAGATTTCAAATGTCAAACCTTTTTCAAAAGGATAGTATTTATCATGGTGGGAGTTCCATTTGATTGGCTGCACAGGTAAAAAGGAATAAAGCATGCCAAAGGTCAAATTTGCGATAAACTAACGCGTTTACTTAATGTTTATATTGGTTTTAATATGGTTTACTTTGAGTTTAGATTAAGTTCTCAAATTACATCAATTTACTTAAAGTTTAATAATTAAAAACCTTTATCCTTTTACCTGTGCTGATTCTCACACCAGTTTTGCAAATATGCCAAAAAATGCATATGTAGCCGAAAGTTCGATTTTATAAATAATGATGAAATTTCTAAGTTTGAAAATATCAAATTATTTTGATTTTAACAAAAACTAGATTTCAGAGAACATAAAACAAACAATAAACATTCTATTGAAAATGTATTGGAAGAATCAAGTAATTGAGAAAATGCGACATAGCATCATTACTTATGCTATTATTGTATACAAATAAATATTTTTAATGAAAAAATTTGTCAATATAGAAAGTATCTGCATCATTTGGAATTGAAATTGATTTTAAATTGCATTTGAGTGTTTTTTTTCTCGTCTTTATATTAATACTTTTTTGCAATTTCGTTTGCTTTAGCCGAACTAATAATTATAGTTTTTGTCTAATGAGAAAAGACAAAATTGAAGTACATGTACATGTACATGTACGTACTTATTTACATATACTGTATCGTTACTACAATTATAAGTACAGTACCAAAAAATGTAACGCCCGGTCCAAATTTATATAATAAAACATGTGAAAAATGGAAATTTTCAAGCTATGTATATACGTATCTAAATTTTTATAATCATTATTTCTAAATTTTATATCATTTAAAGCTAATCAATCAATTGTATTTTTGAAAATGAACAAAACTTATGTCATTTTTAAAATGAAAGAACTATTTTAATCATAAAATCAACAAAAATTTTTTAATATGTATTTACTATATAATTTTAAATCGGGCGTTACTCTTTGGGAGAGGGTCAACTAAACTTAGGACAGTCGTTAAAAATTTAAAATAATGAATAAATATGATACCATGAGAAGTCAGTTTTTTTTACTAAAACAATGATCTTTCAAACATGTTCACTATATTAAATTCTACAATACGTATAGTAAAATTTGGAACACTCCAAACACAAATGATTATTCTACAAGCTTTGAAATATCATTTTCCAAACTTTCATTTGGGAACTTAGTATGAGAGATTAGCCACAATGCCAAATTTTAACACAATAAATGCTAATAATTAAAATCTTCATCAGTTCTATTCTACATCTTTGCAAATTTTCATAAAGTTTTGAGCATTAATCCATGAGCTATTGTGTAAGATGTAAATGCTTTAAGATGAATTTACATATGCAGTACAAAGGTAACGGTAAGTTAATTTATTATTATGAAAAACCATCCTCATTTCCACTGGTTAAAAATGCGCACCAACTTCCAAATATAGGGGTGGCTAAAGCCTGATAATGCGTGTTTATCACAGTGTTAAAGGCTGATTTATTAGCGTTAGGGTTAAGGTTAGAGTGGAGGGCTAGAGTATATGTAAAATTGCCTCACCGACGCTTTTAATTAGTGTTCCAAGATACATTGTTTATATTTTACATTCATGCTTCGGATTTGTTTTTCCGGGTTGATCAAAAATTTACGCATTCTTATTGGCTTGATTCTCGGACAGATCACCAGATCCACCAGGCTTTAGCCAACCCTCAAAATTTGCAAATATGTAGAATGGAATCTGATGAAGATTTTAATTATTAGCATTTCTTGTGTTAAATATTCAAAGTTCACAAATGAAAGTTTTGGAAAACGATATTTCAAAGCTTGTAGAATAATTATTTGTGTTTGGAGTGTTCTAAAATTTCACTATATTGTAGAATTTAATATGGTGCAATGTTTGATTATTAATGAAAGATCATTGTATTAGTAAAAAAATCGACTTTTCATAGTATCATATTTTAAATTTTTAAAGACTGTTCTAATTTTCTATTGTACCTTTCAGTATAGGATCTACTTCAACCCCAGTACATTTATAAGAAACACCTGGCATTTGATCAATAACTGTCGAATACCATAAGACTAATAATTAATTATCTTTTTTCCTTAACATTCATCCCTTTTTCCATTACGACTTCGTACCCACATCAAACGTTATCATTATTTCAATTTTTGGCTTACATGTGACTGATCATGTGACTGGATTTTAAAGAATACTGTTACTGTCAGCGAACAAATTTCCTCAACTACTGTTGCGTTCCTTCTAGTATTTACTGAAAGGGCTTATTCTGCGATGGTTGGGGCACCAGATTATTGCAGTTATTGCAATAACCAATCGATTCAAGGAACTTTCTGCAACGGGGTGGGAGTTAAACTGAGTTATTTACGGTTAGAGGGTCTCTCCGGTTGTCCTAGAGGTTTCCCGTGGCGATTTATTCACAAATCGGTCTTTTCAAAATGATAAGGGGGTATTTGAAGAATAAATAGGATAGAATTACTCTTGTAATAAGAGTCTATTCGTTATAATAAAGTTTTTATATTATTTTAATACCAATTGATGCGAATATGACAGGACTTATTGATACAGCCTGTCCAAAAAGAAACTCAACACAAAAGGGCAATTCGACAGGCTTATTTATGCGGCCTGTCCAAACTAATTTCAACAGGACTTATTGATACGGCCTGTACAAAGAAAACAAGGCCAACTTAACAGGACTTATTGGTATGGCCTGTTCAAGATAAATAAAATTAAAATAACAATTCAAAAGAATTCAACGGCTTATTTAGAGTGGAGGAGCATCCACTACTTGCAATCACTCACGAGGTTTGAAGTTTGATCACGAAACGAAAGAAAATAATATTGTATTCAAATAATATTGTTATTACGAGTAAGTACTTTGTTATTTTATTCAATTTTAAAGCACGATCAAAGCATGTCTTCTCAGCGGCTTGAAGACACTTTTATATACAATTTCAAATTACTACGCTAATCCTATGCTAATTCTAAGGTTAGTAATTTACATTGATGGTTTCTTTTAACACGACTAAACACTAATTGTTCGATTGTCTTTCAATTGTCCAGACGATTGTTATCCCCTTTTTTACAGTTACTATCGTTACGTGCATTTCGCCGATGCTCTCCAATTGTCCAGATGATTGTCAGGATTATCCTCTCGATAATCGTTACCGTTACGTGTATTAATTATCGTTCGACACTCCCGATTGTTCAAATAATTATTGCGATTGTTACCCTCTCTCGAAGATCGTCGTATAATGTCACAGGTGGATCGTGATTATGCGTAATCGACGATTTTACCTGTAACAATGAGTTGGTGAGTGATTAGACTGCGGTGGTGTTCGTTTGTTTCTAGTTCCTGTGCCGTATGACAGTATAGAGGGGAATTTGGATGGACGGTTTTTAGGTAAGATGGTTTGGGTTTTAAGTTTTATGTAACAGGTTATTGACAATATTCTTCTTATTAACTTCCAATCTTTGCTTTTTCTAGCTAAAAGCCTTAAACTGTTCAATCACAAAGTGCTTTTTCAATTAATCAATCAATATGCCGGTTATCAACGGATCAAAGGACCTAACCACAATCAATTACAACAATTTTACAAGTGTAATTTACTTGGAGAAGAATTGTATGCAATTTCATTCTGTTCCTTTATTAACATCTGCGAGGTCTATATATACATTTTTTTGGTTACATTATGAAGTATTGTTTCGGAACTTGCTGCATAATGTACTCTATTGTTTAAGAGAATTTAAGATTGAAAAAGAAATAGAAAATAAGAGCAAGTTCAAAAGCGAAAATAAAATCGAGATTAAAAGCGAATTTATAATAGAAAACAAAAGCGAAATAAAAATAGAATTTCAAAGCGAAATTAAACCAACGAAATCGGGTTAGGCGGATTTACCAAAATTGAGAGATTAGCGAATTTATTCTTAACCGTAACCCGGTAACAAAATACTGCCATTTGATTCGTCTCGACTAGGCAAATCAAATGGCCTTATTTTTGTTCGAATCCAATCACTGGATGTCAAGAATTAGATTATTGGATATTAGATTTTATTTGTGATACAGAATTTTGATGAACATAAAACACCCCCCTCCCCAATGTAGAAGTTCTACCAACTTTAAAAAGCGTAGATGATTAGCATTGTTTTCAGAATTTTTAGGATGTTACGCATGATCTATAGAAAGTTAGGGGGCTACTGTATGTTTCGGGTCTTGATAGAAATTCAGAATAAAATTTCCGGTGAATTTCCGGGCACTTTTGCGTGTGTTTTACAGACATATAATCACGTAATTGAGTGTGTAACCTTTTACATACGCGATTTACCTTTTACGTGTCTTTTACAGACATAACAGCTAAATTAGACGGGGTGTAACCAGATCAGTTCCATATAAGGTTGTGTTACAATTTGTTCCACTTAGACTTTAGTGTACTAGGTTTAACAACGAAACAAAAAGACAATCTTGCTCTCATTCCAAAAAAAAGATATCGAATATATACCTTATCAAAGTAACAAAAAAAATGACTGCGCCTGAAGCCTGCTGCACCGTTCCCCCGGTAAAAAGCAACTATGAATCCAAAGGCGAATATATCCAAATAACCGACGACCTTAAAGCCTACACCATTGGTCCGAAAAATGCCAAAAATGCTGTGATCATTGTTTACGATATTTTCGGATACCATCCAAACGCATTTCAGACGGCAGACATTCTCGCAGAACAGTTGGGATTTCGTGTTGTGATCCCAGATATCTTTCGTGGTAAGCCGTATACTGTAGATCAGTTAATTAGAGATGAAGGGTAAGTTCGAAATAATCAATTAAATTTTATTGCCGTACCGGTACTAAATAAAAAATTGATTGATCGAGTATTAAATAGTTATGAAAAATTAGCTATCTGGTTAAACGAAGTGGCACCCGACCAATCAGTTCTCAATCAAATCGATGCAGTCGTGAATCACTTGCGTAAAGATGGAGCCGAGGATTTCGGGTATATTGGATATTGCTGGGGTGGTAAATTTGCTTTTCTTGTTGCAAAGCAAGAGACGTTTACTGCCGCTGTAGGAATTCATCCTAGTTTTACTACTGAGGAACACAAAATTGGCATCAAGATTCCGATTGCTTTGTTGCCGTCACGAGATGAACCTGATTTCGTATGATTTTTGTTCTTAAAAAAAGTTTTGTTTTCGTTAATTTCTGTGTTGACTTTTTTGAATTAAATTGTTGATTTCAAAATTTCTTGCATTATAAGGCTCCGTTCATTGAATCCTTGAAAAAAGAACCATTCGGGCAGAAATCCATTCATCATCGATTCGATGACATGCCTCATGGATTCGCTGCTGCTCGTGGCGATTGGAGTGTCTCATTGACTGCTCAACGTGCTCAAGAAGCTATTCAACTTGCCGCTAATTTCTTGAAAGAAAATGTTGGTGTAAGATATAAATAACTATTAGAAAGTCGTTCATAATTGTGAGGTTGGTTTTAGACAAATTTTGGTTATTATTATTATTATTATTAAATTTGATGGAAAGCATCCATCATCATTTATGTACATGTATAACGATAACAAATTTGATATTTTTAAGGAAATAAAATCAATCAGATGAATATTATCATCAACTCCGATACTTCATCTAGTTCTAAAGAAAATTAAAAATGGGGAAGTACTCTACGTAATTGCGGAATGATTACAAAATCAATACACTACTCCCAACCTACCATCTTTCTAAATACGTGTAATTAGTGTTCGTGCATAAATACATACATACACACGCGCAGGATACGATAAGATTTCACAGAACCATCGTACACGTCTTGAAAGATCTTTTTTACTATCCCTAATTTATTCTAGAAAACATTTAATGAAACAAATCTAATCAAAAAGCAAAACTTCATATTGATATGGTATGAAATTATGGCAAATTATGACGAATTGCAATCCCGTTAATGAATCAAAGGAAGCTTCCAAGTGGTAACAGCAGCATGATGATTTATATATATATATATAATCTTCACATGGACCAATCTAGACTCTCTGGTCATGCATATTAGTATGCACGTTTACGAGAAAATAGAAACACAATCGATATGTCGTAGCATGACATCAAAATTAAAAGGAGACGATCAAAAACCTTATTTTTCTCCACTGTCCGCAAATAAACAAACAAACGCGCGTTTAGACTGCTCTAGATTTTTTTTTGTCTAACGTTCCTTCCTGAATCATAATAATGATAACGATAATTATTATCGTTATTTTATTTCACACACTCCCAAGCATTTAATTCTATAGAATATCGATATAAATACAATCTTTTCTATTTTGCTGTGTTCAATTGTTATTATTCTTATACTCGCATTTGTGAAAAATTACCATTACAACACTACGTACACACAATTATTACTTGTATATCGATACCGATATCGATACACAAGATAATAAATTCGAGCATCAAAGAAAATGCCTACCACATATTTTTCACCGACAGTCATAATACCAACGATCAAACCAAATCACGTCTTAGAAGGCTCATACATATTAATACAAGACGAGATAAAAACGTATAGCGTTCTTGGTCAATCATCACCTTCATCAAATAGGAATGGTAACCAGAAAAAAGCCATTATCGTCACGCATGATATGATGGGATTTAATAACGTTTCAAACCAGATTTGCGATATAATTGCCAGTCAAGGATATCGAGTCATGATGCCTTATTTGTTTCTGGACGAACCTTATACGAGGGAGAGAGCGGTATTGGAAAGGTGAAAATTGTCTATTACTATCGATTCAACGAGAATGCGAATTCATTTTTATTATATAATTATAGCAATGTCGAGCGTTTTGCTTGGATAGCGAGAGTTGCACCCGTAGACCATCTTACTCGCGTTATTGATAAAACGATATTACAGCTTCGTACAGAAGGATTCGAAGATATGGGAGTATTGGGTTTATCATGGGGCGGAAAGGTTGCCGCTCTTGCATCACAAAACAAAGCATTTAGTGCCGCCATTACTATACATACACCCTGGCTAACATTCAACGATTTAAAAGACACAGAATGTCCGATTTGCCTTATAACACCAGGTGATTTACAGGATCTTGTAAGTATTCTCGATCTATATTTATATTTCTTCTTTATCTATCATATTCCTAATTCGTTAATATCTTTAAAGACACCAGTGGTAAAGAGTTTGCAAGAGATAAAACCGTTTGCACGAAAAATTGTGCACGCACGGTTTCAGGATTTGCGTTATGGTTTGTTAAGCATGTTTACCGATTTCGCGAATCCAATGGTCGCTGAATTGGCGACCGATGTGTTAAGAGTCGCGGTTACGTTTCTCAAAGAAAATCTTGGAATACGGAATTATTGAGGTTGATTTCGTATTTTTTATTTATTGGGAAGAAAGGAAAATTAATCTAAACATCTTACCTGTCATTTTGACTTGTAAATATTTCATCTAAAAAAAATCTATTAAATACATAGAAATACAAATAAAAAAGCTAATATACAATTCTTTACTTAAGACAATTTTTAAAATACATTTTTTTATTATATTAAGTAATTATGATATGCGCGACTTCTTTGTATCGATACTTATAGAAATTCTTACATATGACTACGTAATATTGTAACAATATGATTAAATTAATTTTAAGAACAATGACGTGCGCGTGCTGTCAAACTACCATTATGTTATTACATGTGGAACGGAAGACAATAATGATATCAATTTGACGTAATAGAAAACAAAGAATCTCAATTAATATGTATTGTGCTATTTTTAATTTGATTTATTTTTAATTTTGGTTGTCAAGTAAAAAAATATACTACAAAACAAAATAAACTTTTCAAAAATTCACCCAAGCCCATTTCCTGTTAATCTTGCCACCACTCCCACTATCACCATTACCATCACCACCAGAATCTTTAATTTCCTTCATAGTAGTCATCTCAATATGCGTCACAACACGCACCAATATCACAATCAATCGATCAAGAGTCGACAACTTCTCCATTCTTATTTGCCACGGGAAAATATCGAGTGGTGGTGTTCTACATGTTAACGTCAAAAACAGAATATCTTTATCGATCTTGAATTCTTTATCATAGTTTAAAAATTTCGGGTTCGTCTTAAGACGAAGCGAAAGTTCGCGAGAGATGAATTTTGGTATGGTGTAGTAGAATATGGTAGAGACTTTGCGTAGGTTGTGGTGTAAATTGTTGAGTGGAACGTGGTGGTATATTTTTTCCAGGAGTTCGAGTGGGAGGGTTTGTAATGTAGTTTTTGCGGTTGTTAATTTTATTATTGATTGTTGTTCCATTGCGTATAACGACAAGACGTGGATCAATTTCTGTATTTATATTTTATACATGTAATACAACCATTAATAATTGTTTTTTACGAATTATTAATACATTTGTTCCATTCGTTCATTTAAGTTCATCTTCGAAATAAAATTTACCACTTCGTCGGCTCAAGTATTTTTTTACCTTTTAGTTTGATCTTTCCCTCGTTTCGTTTGCTTTGGGTATCGGCTTATTGGGTTATCAAAAAGTCATACAGTCTCCGGCGAAAGTAATGGTAGCCAGTTTTTTTCATTATATTTCATTGAATCGTATAATAAAATTATTTTGAAAGTGTCTCTGAGTAGGGCATTATGCCCAAAAATATCCATACTTGGTGCGCTCTCTTTCCGTGTCAATGCAAGTTCGAATATAATTTAATGCTCTAAAAATTTGTAACTTGAACGTTGTTAACTAAAAAAAAAAAACAAATTCGCCAAAATGTTCGTCTTATTGAGGCGAATATAATAAGACCAAAAATTACAAAATCTGATCACTGGTTATCGAGAAATAAGCGTTGAAAATTTTAAAAACATGCAATCGGGAAAATGACGCTCCTATTAGATTTTCGCAAATTCATCACATTTTTTATTTTTTATATGTCCCTTCTATAAAAAAATGTTTGTTGGTATTATAGTAAAATTCATATAACAATCTCACCGCCATTACTTTCGCCGATGACTGTATTTAGCTTGCAAAATCTATGTACTTCAATAACGGACCAGCATAATGACAATTTAATTGAGATTTTGAGAAACTAATAGTTAATTCAATAAATGCCATTAATCGTTATTTCTCAGAAAAGACACGTCCTTTTACAAAAAGTAATGTGGTCGGTCAACAGACCATGTAACTCCATATATACAGTCCGCACGGAAAGTAATGGCGGACGAATTTAAATTTTTCGGAAATTTACCAAATATATAAAAGTAGAGCGACATGCCCATATAAAACATCAGTATCGGGTATGCCCTCCTTCCGCGTCAATACAGGTTTGAACGCGATTTCGCATACTACTGATACTGTTAAAGATTATATCCTCGGGAAGGTTCACCCATTCCTCCTCCACTAACGCCACAAAAACATCTAGTGACACTTTTTCGTACCACAATCTTTTTTTACCTTCAATAGGGTTAAGATCACTGTATGACAGCCACGGAAGAACACGGTTCGGCAGCCGTGCTTCGAGATCGGTTTGAACGTCGTTTGAGCGGTGCTTGGGATTGTTGTCTTGCAGGGAAATCCAGCGCCAACGACCGTTCATGTTTGTTAGTGATCATTAAGAATTTCTCCATAAAGATACCAATCCATATTTTGTATAATGTGCACATCCCGACTTTGCCACGTGCACAAATCGCTCCCCACATATGAAGTTTTATCATAGGTGCAACAGCTTTCCCGGTACGTGACCACTTTTTTGGATTTTTGAGTGAGAAGAGGGACACGCTGCGGCAAACCAGAAACATAACCGAGCCTAAAAAGCTCGTCACGGATAGTTTGTACACCTTTTCAAATTCTGGATGCATTTCTTCGAGCCTTGATTTCAGCTGCCATGAGAAATTTATAGTTTGACCAAGGTGACAACGCATGGCGGATGAAATCTTACATTGCCGGCCAGAACAGTGAATATCCGGAGAGAAGCGATGTAGAGTTCACAGGAACACCAGTTTGTTGCGAGATTTCGGTGGCGTTGCGGTATCCATTTCGCCGACATTTAAAAATAAATGTTCGATCGACAATACGCTAAACACATCTACAAAATACCCTAACGCTGATGACTTCACACTTAAACAGCACGATAAATTCTATGAAAATTCCAATTATTGTGACATTTCAATTATTCTTGGTGAAAACCGGAATACTCGACGTATTTTTTCAGTATATTAGTGGGGCAGTCGCAATATTTTGCGGTAGCACTTTCTGATGCTTGGGTGAAGCGAGATAATTGTCTTTAAGAAACCGAATATCGAACCTTGAGTTTTTGAAATATTGCTAAGGTAATTCATTCATGTCAAAAACGAAGCAACACTGTTAAATAAGGTAACAATAAAAATCTGATTAAATTTTTAATAGATATATTTACAGTGGAAAAATCGATTTGCAAAATCATGGTGTTTCAACATGTTTGGGTTTATTAGTCGCAGCCGATGAGTTGACTCGTGGATCTGATTGAATATATCCAAATTTATCTTCTCGAACACCATTCTAAATCTTTAACGGGAGTTTTGCCTTAATCAATCAAATTGTATTCGAGCATAACTCTTTTACCAAGCTTCATAAATTTTGCACCGATGTCACATGTCAAAATCCAGCTGCTATTTTAAATCAACTGATTTTACCAAGCTACACGAATCAGCTCTCATTTGTTTGCTCAAACGTGACGACCTAAATCTGAACGAAATCTCTCAAGTTGCAGATACAGAAGAAATTAATTTATCAATAACGAATTTAAGCAACTTAAATCTAAATTTACCATCAGTTGATTTTTATAACAAAGTTATGCCGTATGCTGAAATTTTGCCGGGAACACTATATAAAGATTTATTGCATCATTATTTGGTGCCAGGAAGTGAAGAACACAAGGCTGCTTTACACCCAGTTCGCTACTCTTCAATTCTTTCGCATAGTCAGATCTCTAAAATAATTGATGGATTAAAGAACAAGATGATAATCAGGAAACCAAATAGATTGAATTGAAGCTATTACTACAAGGTAGTCGTGATGGATTTAAGAATACAGACTTTCATCGTTTGTGTGATAATAAAGGTCCAACAGTTGTTGCCATTCGCATAAAAGATGAGGAAAAGATCATTGGTGGTTATAATCCATTTGAATGGAATTCACTTATCATAGACTATATCAATGAACCGGCCAATGGAGAAGGCAAACGACAGTAATAACAATAACAGAAAATTATCAAGCATCTTAGATAGATAATCCCCACGCCACACGCAAAAGGAATCAAGAATTACTGTGCATTTCAAGTAGCAAGAGAAGAAAAACTTGAGTGTTGGGTCTTGTACATATGACTAGTCGATCCACGTGACAATCGGAACTTCGAACGGAGTGATCATTGATTGGTCAATAAATTAATATATTCTGATTGGTGCATCTTTGTAGGTCACGCTGGGGCAGTCGTCGTTACGCTCGGAATACCATTTCGACATCCTCTTAATTTTGGTAAGTTCGGTTTGGGCCGCATTATAGGTCCAGTATTCTCTCTCAAATAAACATCCCTTATTTATATCTTGGATATTCTTTCTTTTTAACATGAATCTTTCTCCCAAACAATACTAGTAATTATATCTTGCATTCTCTCTTTTTTTAATCATGATTCTTTTTTTAATCATGATTCTTTTTTTTAATCATGATTCTTTTTTTTAATCATGATTCTTTTTTTTAATCATGATTCTTTTTTTTAATCATGATTCTTTTTTTAATCATGATTCTTTTTTTTAATCATGATTCTTTTTTTTAATTTCTCAAATATTTTAGCTTACAATCTCTCATAAACAAAACCCTTAATTATATCTTACATTCTTTCTTAAACAATGCTTTTAATATCCTCTCTGAATTACTACTACTAAAAAAATGTATATAATAAGGGTCTACGGGCCTCAATAAAGCACAGAATCGTTGTTCTCCAAGTAAAGTAAGACTTGTAAAATTCCCTTGTAATAATTGATTGAATTGACTGACGGTTAGAACCTTGATCCAGAAAAAAGGCATTTTTTTTAACCACAGTTAATAAATATTTCCATTTATCCCTTAAACCGTTCAGCGGGCAAATTTGCCCGCTAAATTTTTTTTAACTAATTTTTGTACATTTACGCCTAATTTTTATAAGCTTAATCCCTCCTTTCTAAGCTAAAATAAAAATATAGCCTATTTTTAATCAATATAATCTAAATTTGTAATTTTTATTTATAAATTGCTTAAAATATTTGATTTATTTTGTAATCAATTCTGTCATTTTATTATGAAATTTTTTAAATTTAAAAATTTTTTAAAATTGCTTATTTTTAACTCCATAAACAACTATATTTTTTATAAATGTTAAAAAAGTGAAAATAACTATTACATAATATATAATTAAAGCTAATATTAAGCAACTTTTTTTTTAAATATTTTAATGTTTGGTAAAAATATATTTAGATATAAATTTATGGTATTTTAGCAGGCAAATTTGTCCACTAATCCGGACGGTTTAAGGGATAGTAACTTTTTAATTGGTCACTTCAGTGGATCATTTGTAATGAAGTTTTCATGACTTCTACTTGGATACTGTTATGGGTATCAGATTTCTTGTGTCTCGAAATATAATCTCTCGTGGTCTCTGTGGACTATGCTGCCGTTGCTAGAAGAGAAAGTAGTAGTAGATTTCTTTAGTCGTTCTTAATTACACTTTGGGTCGTATTCGATATATACCACGACAAATGTGATTAGTAGTGATACTTTTCTTAAATTCTACGCTATCATTATTTCATGTTTATCAATTCAGTGATTAAAGATTCTTCTAATTACCAAAGAACATAACTCTACTCTCTTAGACTAAAGGAATCTCTCCTTTTTATAGATATGTGACGAATCCCTTTTTATAGATGATTTGTCTCTATATTTTCCTTTCCCACAATTTACATTAGTACTCACCAGTTACATAGATTTGTTCCCAACAATTTCATCGATTTTAGGAATCGATTCTCAATTCTCGAGCACAAATTACAACGATGATGATGATGACGACAGCAAAAACGACGACAACGGCGATGGCATAGCCTGTCTTTGGTTTTGTTTTTCATTGTATGTTGATTTTCGTTGGGATAGTTGAAGTTGCAATTTGAATAGTTGAATTCGTAGCGATAAAGATATTATATTATAGAGGCAATTGAAGTATTGTGATTCTGTATCCGTTTCATTGCATGTATTTTCTGTTATTTTATAAATATCATTCAAATTTGGATCAATATCAGTTACTTTT